ACCACAGAGAAGGGCCTCTCTTCTTGGACCACTACCGCCTCTAGCCTCAGAGGGCAGAGAAACTACCAAGAGAGCCCCCTTTCCCAATCAGGGTCTGTAGGGAAGTAAGCAGCCCTTCAGATACTTGGGGCCTGAGCCTTAATTCAGCAGTCTAACCACTATGCCACACTGCCTCTTGCACTGGGTGAGAATTCCTACCAACCCCAGCCAGCATGGCCATATTACGCTGAGGCTGATGGGAGTTATAGTCCAACTATCCAGTAGGCAAAATGTTGGGAGACGTCTGAGCTGTTGGCTTACATCTACTGGTGTGCTTAAATCACAGCAGTGGGAATAAAAGGTTAGCAAAGGTTTCAGTTTGTACACAAACGTAATCCAACCCCCTGATAATCCATAGTCAATGTTTGAAAGCTCTCTACAAATATTGAGAGAAGTTAAAATACTGTACATGCAAACAAACAAGATTTAACATTTGGGGATGGGAGAGTCAATCTGAACCCTTCTCACCAAGTGGCCTCTTTTCAAGCTAAGAACATTTAAACGGGGCTCTGAGCTGCCTGCCTCTTTTTATGCTCCTCCAGACTCCGAAGGAGGGATCCATTCAGCCATGGATTATGTCAGATGGCTTTGTTGGGGAAAATGGTGTGTGATCTGGAGTGGCCTATGAAGCTCAAAAACTGAGCTAATCCAGCCTTCAAATGGGGAAATTACAAAGAAAACAGACACACACACACACACACACACACACACACACACAATTGGCAGAGGGAAGAAAATTTGTATACTTAAAAACCAGGAAAACTCAAACAACACACTTAATGGCGGAAATGTCCTTGGCAGACAAACACAATACTCTTAGCATATTCCAAGTAATGAAAGTTTAATTAATTGCAAAGTTATTAACTTCTTCTTTTTCACATTGCACCACCAGCAGTCTAAACAACTTGCACACTGTTCAATCCTCTAATTACTGTGCATTTAATAAACACCATTTGTTTATCATTTGGTGAAAAAGCCAGCCACTGACAAGGACACAGGAGGGTCCAGAACTCAGCCAGGTCACAGCACTGGGGATGGGAGGCCATTAAATCTGACCAGAGGGAAAAGCTCTCCAATATCTAGCAATGTGCAGGCTCCTCAAGTAAGCAGCTAACTGCAAATGATCAGCGTAAAAGATGCTGAAGGAGTAAGGTGACCCTGGAGAACTGCTACCAGTCAGAGTAGGCAATACTGGGCTAGATGGACCAGTGTTGTGACTAAGTATAAGGCAACTTCCTATGCTATCCGCCTCCCATCCTATTTCGTTTAGGAAAACGTAAAGACCAGAATGTGAAGCTCAGTGCTTCCTGCACACTCCCTCCTCAGCCCCAGAGCTGGGCAGGTCTTCCGGAGGAGCTATGTTTGGGGTTTTGGTGTAGATCCCCGGCATGGTGTTGTTGTTAATTCTTATTTAAGAGGTGACAGCAAGGTGAGGAGCTTCTTCAAGCTGAATGGCAAGAAAAGATTGTGGCTTTTAAATTCACGAGAAACAAGAGGTGCAGGCAGCAATTCAGAGCTCGTATATTTGGAAACATAAGCACTGCTGTAAATCAGTGGTGCCCAGCTGGAGTATTCAGAGGGGACCCACCCAATGCCCATTGTGCTATTCCCCCCCCCCCCCCAACGCTAGCATCTACTAAGTGTGCTGTTTTCTGGGAATAATAAGTCAACCTCACAGGGTAGTTGTGGGGATTAGAATGTCAAAACTGGACCTGGCAGAGACCAGGGTTCAAATCCCCACTAGGCCATGAAGCTCACCGTGTGGCCTTGGTGGCTGTACTCACTGTCTCTCAGCCTAAACTACGTCACAGGGCTGTTCTTAGGGGGGTTAAAAGAGGAGCAGGGAGAACCATGTATGCTGCCTTGAGAACGTTGGAGAAAAAAGTGGGCTATAAAATAAATAAATAAATAAATAAATAAATAAATACCGTAAGCAAGCAAGCAACTCCTTTCATCCTGGCTACTGACCATGCTGGCTGGGCAGCCAATAATCCAACAAGATGATGATTGTCCACTCCCTAGAAGAAACTGGCCTTGCTCATGGTGCCATGATAGCCCAATGGGAAGTGACAGGAACAAGGCCTTCCCAATGGCGGCCCCCTTCTCTGTGGAACTCCCTCCCAAGTGAAATCCAACTGTCCCCCCCCCCCCACTTTGGCAACATGAATCTAAATAGCCAGGAGCATAACTGGTTTGGAACACAGCAGTTAAAACGTTTTATTGCTCACTGCTTTTATGCTTTAATTGCTGGCATTGATTTCACTGATATTTTAAATCACTTTTTTATGATGTTCTGGGTTTTATGACAGCTGTTAACAAGGAGTAACTGCAGCATCAGAAACAGTAAGACTAAATAAAAATAAATGAATTTAGGTTCATGTCTGCTGCTGGCATGAATTCCTCATGTAGCATTCACTCGGTGACCTTGGGCTCTTAATAATAATAATAATAATGATCACTTATTTATCACCCACCCTTCGCTCTAGGTTCTCAGGGTAGGTGCAACATTAAGACACAGCAATAAAAACACTTCAAGACCAGTTACAGTAATAGAAATACCATAATTATTTTTTAAAAGTGGGTTTTAAAAATATACACACCTCAGATGTCAAAATCTAAGACAAAGGCAGATCTAGGAGTAATTCTACTTTACACACTCACTCCTTCAAAGGAAGGGAAACTCCACCCAAAGCAGGTAACTTTCCAATTTCCCAAATCATGGGAACCACCCATTCAAAGAGCCTCCATCACTGCCTCCTGGGAGAGAGAGATCTATAGTTTCACTATGCACTGTGTTGACTTCCTTTTATCTGTCCTGAATCTTCCAACACTCAACTTCATTGCAGGTCCATAAGTTCTAGTGCCATGAGGGAGAAAAATATTTCTCTATCCATTTTCTCCATGATTATGCATAATTTTATAAACTTCTATCGTTGCCTCTTCCTTGTATAATGGCATTATGATTCAATTCCTTTCCTCGTGATCCCTTGCATAGAATTTGCTATTTTCATGGCTGCCACACACTGGGTCAATGCCTTCATCAGGCTCTCCACTATGTCCCCAAGGTCTTGTTCCTGGTCTGTCATCTCCAGTTCAGACCCCATGAAGGGTATATGAGAAATTAAGATTTTTTGTTTTGCACCAACCTGTACCACTATTACATTTGTTTACACAAAACTTCATCTGCCATTTTACTGCCCATTCAATCAATCTGGAGAGATCCTTTTGGTACTCTTTGCAATCTCCTTTTGTTTTACCAGTACTGAACAATTTAGTACTATCAGCAAACTTGGCAAAAATACCTCTTGCTTTTCCATCAAGGCTCATTCAGTTCTGAAGCCAGTTCTGAACCCAGATAGCAATGGATCTGGGTCATTAGTCTCATCCAGGAATTCCTGGAGTTGCTCCACATCCACCATATCCCAATGCAATAAATATATAAATAAATATCATTCGTAAGTGTTTGCTCCCTGGGGACACAGCCTGGCTCTAATGAAAAAGCTGTGTGCGTGGGTAGAATTGGCAAAAAATCAGCAGCCGTATCAGCAATGCTAAGAAATTGTAAGCTGCAAATTCTGGACCTTGATGCTAGGTCAAAGAGTGGGAGCATCAAACAGAAAGCACCTGCAATTTCAGTGCTACAGTCAAAGTTCAGGCAAATTATCACACATGACTGTGTTTGCTTTAAGTGTGAGCCAAATCAAAGAAAACAGCCAAGCAAACATTTTCAGAGGTTACCTGCTCCTCACAGGATTATGCACTGGCTTTAGACAAGAGGAAACAAAAGGAGTAACCATCTGGGTTGTGTTGTTGTTGTTCCTGCAGTCACTTGGTGTCACAAAACAAAAAGCAGCTATTTCCAGCAGACACAGCTACCTTATTCATAGACAGGAAAATTAAGAGCACTCTGAAACTGGCATTCTCCCCCCTCATAATTTAATTCCCACAACAACCTTGTGAAGTTGTTGTTGGGCTGAGAGTGACTGACTGGCAAGCTTCATGGATGAGTGAGGGGATTTGAACCGTGGTCTCTCAGGGCCTAGTCGAACACCCTGACCTCTGTACCACACAGGCTGAACGGCCATATTCCCTGATTCTGACCACTGATGTGGCAGTGAATTCCGTCTGTACAGAGGGAAATACAGAAATATATTTTTTATTATTTTATTTGTTGCACATTATTTTTTGCACCACCTTTCCCCACAAAGAGCTCAAGGTTGTATACGTGATGCTCCCCTTCCCCATTTTATCCTCAAAACAACCCTGTGAAGTGGGTTGTTAAGCTGAGAGACAGTGACTAGCCCTCAAAGTCACACCCAGTGAGCTTCATGGCTGAGTGGGGATTCAAACCCTGGTCTCCCAGGTCCTAATCCAACACTCTAACCACTACACCACGCTGCCTCAGGGGAAGTTTCCTGCATGCTGTGGGCCTAGGAGACGAAGCAGCCAGTTTGAGGTTCATTGGAGTTTGCGCTTGGAGCACAGGCTTGAAATGCTTCCAGGCATGCAAGCATCCTTCCCACTTCACCTGATCCCATTGCTCCTTGGCTTCTCTAGAGAACAAGTCTTGGTTTGGTGCTGCAGTAAATGAGTGATGTGGATGCATATGTGAACTAGCCTTGAAAAGACTTCCCAGGTATCCTCTTTCAGGTGGATATAATAATAATAATAACAATAATTTATTACTTATATCCTGCCCATCTGGCCAAGCCTCCTCAGCCACTGTGAGCAGCTTCCAACAGGATATTAAAAACATGGGATGAATGCCCATTAAGCCCAGTAAGGAGAGTGGCTCTAGTTCATAGCTTAGCTCAGCAACATACCAACTTGCTAAGCAGGCCCTGTCAGGTTTACCATCTCTCAAACTTTTCATTTCTCCTTCTATAAATGTGACTGTGTCAATAGCCTGCCTCACTGAGTTCACAGCAAGGAAGAGCATGAACAAACACCAGAGTAAGAGAGGCAGTGTGGCATAGTGGTTACAGTGTTGGACTTGGACTCCTGAGACGAGGGTTCAAATCCTCATGCAGCCTTGAAGCTCACTGGGTGCGATCTTGGGCCAGTCACCATCTCTCGGCTTAACGTACCTCACAGGGTTGTGGTGAGGACAGAATGGAGAGGAGAACTATGTATGCCACCTTTAGCTCCTTTGAGAAAAAGTTGGGATATCAATGCAATAAATGAATAGGTTCTGTCCCAGAACTAGCAACAGCCTGGTGAGCCCCTTGCAAGTCTTCCAAGACCAATGGCAGTGCCTTGCCTCACTATTTTGAAATCATTGCCCTGAGGCAGCTGCCAAGCTTCTTGTTCCTTGAGACCAAAGGAGCCTGCCTTTCTACTTAATGGTAGAAAAAGCAGACAGCTGCCAAGAGACCATCCATTTGCATTTTACAAGTTGTTTACACAAGATTAACGCACCACCCCTTGAGGGGAAATGCTCCTTCAGGTACGGTATTGGTTATGGAGAGCAAGGTATTTCTAATAGAGCCACATTTCGCCATTGCCATTTCATCACTATTTATCCTAATTTATACTTTCGCAAGTACCTGCAACAACTGTATTAACTGGATCTGGAAATACTTGTCTTTACCTAGGATACAGAAACACTGGCAGTTTCTGCATCAATGGAACCAAGAAGTTGCATCTTGTGGGAGTCCCTCACAATTTGGCAAAGCCCTGGAAACTTCAGGATGGGGATTTGAGATAGCTGGTTAAGACCTGCCTCTGCCCGCTTGCCTTAAGACACACCTGTGGGAGATGTGTCCCAGCATGATGGCCAAAGAGATACCCTGGGGTAGGATGGTGGTAGGAAATGTTAACAATCCTGGCATCACATGGATACTGTGACAATGTTACATGCCATCCCAATCTCTGGGTGGTGAGAGAATCTAGGGTTTCCTGGTGTGAGCCCAGGGTTCAGTTTCCCTGGTACATGGAGACTGCAGTGCCTTTCGGAAAAGCGGATATATTTACACATATGCACATATATTTACACATATGCACCTGAGCATAGGACATTGGGGCTCACAGCACTGACCCCCTACCAGATCTCACTTCTCTATAGGTTGCAACTTTGGCCCCAGCAAAGATCAAGCCTGTCTCTGTGTCTCCCAACTTCCAACCTGCTTCCAGCCCAGCCCAGTTCACACTCTGGTTCTTGTTCTCCTACCTAGCAGCTAGGTGAGGGGGCAGAGCAAAGATCTACCTGTTAGCACTGAGGGCTCCATGACCTAGTTGCAGGTCTTGTGACCTGGCTAATCCTTTTAGGATGCTGATGAGGACATCTAACTGGCCAGCCTAAGGTCACTGCCTCACAAAGAAACTCGTTCAACAGACACCTCGTCGTCAGATTATAAACTCACTGCGTACAAGACCCCAAGAACTGGAAGGGACTCGGGGCATCATCGTGACTGACCCTTCCCAAACTCACAACAATACTATCAATTACACATTTCAATGCATTTCAGTCTTTTGTAAACAACTTTGGAAACCTCTCTTAATCCTAGAGATTAAGAGGCTTGTGCTCTACCGACTGAACTATCCCAGAGTCATGTAAACTTTTATTATGCAATCCCTTTGACTCTTCCAAAGAACCGTGGGGAATACAGAATTTCAAGGAAGGCCCCATTAAGTGATATTCCTAACCCAGAATGCAAGAATTCTGATATTTGAACAACCAGAAGCTCACAATCCATGTTTCACTCAAAGAACAATTCTCTATTGCCCCTTTGCAATTATTGATTGATGGACTACATTTATAGTCCATCTTTTTCTTTTCTCTATGGAGCTTAAGGTGGTTTACATGGCTCTCCTTCTCATTTAATCCGCTAACCCAGAAATAGTGCCTAAGAATTTTGCTTCAAGATGAGAACAGAAATCGCATGGCGGCGGCGGCGGCGCAGCAGCGGGAGGCCCCATTAGCTAAAATGATACCTCAGGTTAAGAACAGTTTCAGGTTAAGAACGGACCTCCAGAACGAATTAAGTACTTAACCCGAGGTACCACTGTAACAGACAACAGCATAAGAGCAAAAACGAGCTTGATTTTAAAAAGGGGAAAGGAACCCTTGTGACTGGATTACTGCAGAGTGCTCTATATGGGGCTGCACTTGAAGACTCACAGATTTATAGAATTGTAGAGTTAAAAGAGACCTTGACGGTCATCTAGTCCAACCCCCTGCAATGCAGGAATCTCAACTACGGAATTCCTGATGGGTAGCCATCCTATTTCTGCTTGAAAACTTCCAGTGAAGAAAACTCTGAATATGACTCAGAAACTTCAGCTGGCCCAAAATGAGCAGCCAGATTCCTGGCTGGGGCTTCATTTAGATCTCACTTAATTCCCATGTCTTGTTCTGAAATAGCTGCACTTGTTGCCAGTTTGTTTCTGTGCCCAACTGAAAGTGCTCACATTGGTGTTCAAAGTCCCTAAACAACTCAGGCCTCAAATATCGGAAAGACCACATCTTTTCCTACAGACCATCTTGGGTGCAAAGATCGGGGAGGGGGACACCTCTTGGTAGCCCTCCACTCTCAGAAGCTTGGGGTGGGATGTCCCAGGTGGAGAGGGCCTTCTCAGTGGTGGCCCCTAAACTGGGGAACTTCCTTCCCACAGAAGTGTACTTGGCACTTTCACTCCACAGCTTCCCAAGGATGTTGAAGATACACCTCTTTCCTGGCCTTTGACATTTGAGGTGTATGGGTTTTTTTTAGACCCACCTTATTTTAGTGAATGCTAGTTGTTCTAAACGTTTTTTAATATTTTGGTTTTAATGCTGCAACTCGCCCTGGGACCTTACAATGAAGGGCAGGCAATAAATAAGTTAATACTACTAAAAATAATACAGTGGTACCTCGGGTTACATACGCTTCAGGTTACATACGCTTCAGGTTACAGACTCCGCTAACCCAGAAATAGTACCTCGGGTTAAGAATTTTGCTTCAGGATGAGAACAGAAATCATGCTCCGGTGGCGTGGCGGCAGCGGGAGGCCCCTAAAGTGGTGCTTCAGGTTAAGAACAGTTTCAGGTTAAGAACAGATGTCCGGAACGAATTAAGTACTTAACCCGAGGTACCACTGTAATGATAGTGATGGGGCATCTGTATTTTGCCTCCCTTTCCCATCTCATTGTTGAGATTTGCTCCTGTTTAAAAGGGAGCATTCCATCCTTGATACCAGATTATTTCATTGCTTAATGAGATGTTAAATAACAAGTTAATTGAAAGTATTGCATGCGCACCGACTCACTTTATATAACTGACTGGCTTTCAGTTGCTTACTAGACAGTCAGTTTCGGGGCCCGTCTGCTATGAGAAGTTTGACACAGAGTAAACCCAGCAAAGCTGCCTCCCACTCAATATTTGGAATAAAGCCACAAGAGAGAGGAAGTGTCGTGTAGTGGTTAGAGTGTCAAACTAGGATCTGAGAGAGAATCCCCACTCAGCCATAGAGCTCCCTGGGTCACCTTGGGCTGGCCACTGCCTCTTAGCCTAACCTACCTCGCAGGGTTGTTGTGGGGATTAAATGAGGACTAGGACCCTGCAGACGAGGTTTCAAATCCTCACTTGCCTTTAAACACACTGGGTGTGACCTTGAGCCACATTCTCTCTCAGTCTAGGGGGAGAACCACATACTCCACATTGAGCTCCTTGGAGACAAAGGTGGGGTATAATTGTAATAGAACAAATGAGCTGCAATGGAGGGCCAGGTAAGAGCTCAGCTGGGGGAGGGAGTCAGAGGTTCCTTCAGGCTGCCTCAACATTACCCTGCGTCACTGAGGCGTGCACAACAGCATACACCAAGTTGAAGGGAGAGCAGTATAATGCTTTGCTGGAGAAAATCTTTTAGTTACAATTAAATGCTCTTAACTCCATAATTACCTCTGAATGGGAACTAGATGTCCTTCAGGCAAAAGTCTATTCTCCCCAGGAACAAGAGGAGAATTTACAAATAGGGAAAATTTTTCAGCTTTTCCTCATGGAGGTCAGTAGCTTCATTAACTGCAAACCCCAAAATCTGGGATCCCCTCCAAACCAGTGCCAAAGTTTTGCAACCGCTTCACAGCATTTTGCAGTGCCCCCCCCCCACCTGAGTAATTGATACTTAAACCAAGAGTCATAGGTATCACCTAAAAACAGAGCTTTGGCAAATTCACTCGAAACTGGTGCTTAAGTTTTGCAATTGTTTTGCACCGTTCTGCAGCAAAAACGCTACCTTTTGCAGCGCGTCTCAAAAAGCACAGCAAGTAATAAAGCAAACTGGGGGTCCCAGTTAAAGACACTATAGTTAAGAGCACTCAAATTTCCACATTGCACTATCTCCATGTATAAACATCAGATTGTCTGTGGGACTTTAAAAACTGTTTTTATTATGGCATAATTTTTCGTTGGCCACGGCCAACTTCATATGTCTGTGTCCACACACGAGAAATGAATTTTAAATAATAACAACAATTTTTACAACAAACAATTATAAACCATCATTTTATTGGTATTCTTTTTAGCCTAATTGGAGTCCTGTACTATCCTGAGATAATTTTGAATTTAAACTCTTGTGTTTCTGAGGTTTATGACGTTAAGATCTGTAACTGAATGGCCAGGAATTTGAGGTGGGTATGCCTGCATTCACACATGGGGTTTATTCAATATGATTGTGGAGTTAGAACTTTTGTCACATTTTTAGTCTTCTTTTCTTGCACTTTCTTGCACTTTCAAGTTGGACTCAAGCTCTTATCCCACCTGAACGCACATTTCAAGAAATAATTTAAGAGATGGCGGCTCTGGAGGCAACTGGATTGGATTTGAAGAAACCAGAAAGTCCATATGCTGAGTAGATCACAGTTTTCAGGATGCTGCAAAATGACTGCAAAACTTTGGCATTGGTCTGCAGTAACCACAGTTTGATGTATTGCTTCTTACAGTACTGTACTTTTTATGGGGTGCTGAAAACTGTGGGGTTTGAACTGCAAAACCACTGCAAACCTTTGGCACTGGCTTGGGGTGAATTGGGATATGTTGGATTTTTGAGTGTATCC